AGAGAGGAGGGAGGGAGGGAGGGAGAGAGAGAGAGAGGAACAAAAAAGATGGAATTTCTGTTACGAAAGAATGATAAAAAAATTCGAAAATGTCGGAAATGACATCTATTAATAATACAGTTATTTACGGAAACAGAACATACGATGAAAAAATTGTAGCTATCGTCATCGTTATATTTATTCACACGCAGTAGTTTGAATTGCTCTTTAGTCGCGTACTGCAATTTATGTTAATAGCATTATCAATTCGTATACTAGAATAGATACTTGGTAAAAAATTTAGTTATAGATAAAACAAAAAATAATATCATAGATATTTAAAAAAATTATTATTCTTCGCCAAGCATTAACATCTTCATTCTAATTAAATAAGATTTTTTGCAATTCTAAAAAAATGAAATTTCTTATCAAATAATTATTAAAAATTTATACATATATAACATACATATATAACATATCTAATTTATTATATATAGTATATATTTCTATATCATTTAATATCTGTTAATTTTTTTGATACAAAATGACAAATAAAAAAGAAATTAAAATTATTTATATTTATTTATATATTAAATAAGAATCTTATAACAAATATATTTAATAAATAAAGTCAGTGTTGTAATATACATTAACTGAACACATTAATAGAAACATATGTCAAGATTATATATATAAATAACATTAATATATATATTGATACTAAACATTTGTGATAATACATCAAATTGTGCCATAAGTTTTTGAAAAAGAATGTGATATTATCTTCCAAAAAAGTAGCTAATTTGATAAGAAAAAAGAATAATAATTGTACATATACTATTGTTATAGAAGCTTAATTCGACACTGACAAGTATCATATCAAGCATGCAAATAAACTAATCTGCATTCAAGCAATATTTTACGTGCAAATTGGATTGTTACAAATTATATTTTTTATATGGTTTATTATTCACAGAAAGTGATTTGAATTCAATGTTCTCGTTATATGGATAGTCCCAAAAGCTTTATCCTAACTAACAAAAATTTTATCTTAAATATATTATTCTATATATGTTTTATATATAGTTTTATTTTAAATATATAATGAAAAAAATTCACATATAATCAATAATACCTTAAAAGCTAATGGGACATCATCAATATGATGATAAAATTGATTGAGAATGAAGATGATATCTTGGGAGAACTTCAATATTGCAGGTGCCACAATGCTATATCTAGCTTCTACTTCATTTTACATTATAAATCATAAGCAAATGATGGCGAGCGTTCACGCACGACGTTGAGGCAGGTAAAGACGCAACTAAAGAACGGAAAAAACTACATGGGGTGGTTTCCTTATTGCGTACCGACAAAATCCGACGAGAAAATATCTTTTAGCTTGGCTTTCTTCTGAACCTGGTCTTTCTGCGTGTGGTATACTTTACCGCAAAGAGTTCCGACATGTAGCATGAGAAAAGAGAACAAACAAAAGAAAATAGTTTTGCCTTCTGGGAAAATAAATAAAAATACGGAATAAATCCAAAGACGTCTGGCATGTTTAAAGAATTACGACAACTGCAACACTGGAAGATCGATATTTTTTTCTTTTTTTTATCTTTTCTCTCTATTTAATATCTACGGATCACGAATTAAACGAACTTTCGACAAACGAGGAAATTCGAGGAAAACCATTTGTAGACTCGTGATACACAGATATCGGATGACAAAGTAGATCGCGCACGATTTAATCTTCCTCTGGCTGGAAAGAAATGTATATATACTCGATGTACGCGGCGCGACTTCATATCGAGCAATTTTCACTGGGTATTACGAAAAAAACTTTCGATTAACTGTACACTAAACTGAAGACTATATTACCAAGAACAACTTCACACTTTCTTTTCACAGAGGCCTCTTTTTTTTATCACGTACCTTCCAACAATCTTTGTATCAGGTTGTCGACGTTCAACTCGACATCCGCCATTTTTTCTTGCCACTGACTGACTAACCTGATGTTTGTAGACTAGATGATATGTTTGTATACGCATTTAACTATATATGACTCTTGTCGATTTGTATATATATATGTAAATTATTATCGACTGCCGGTCCTATGTAAATACGAAAAAAACATAGTAAACTTAATATTAAATATTAGTTTTAACATAAAATGATTATTGATTTGGGTGAATATGCAATATATTGCATTATATTGCATTTGATTTCTCTTTTTTTCTCTTTTCCTATATGAATATTTCAACAATAATACGTCTTATATAACATAAAATTTGTTGTGTTCTTATGTAAATGAATTTACATATTGTGCGAATATTTATGATTTGATCGTATTATTCAATTTGCAAATTTTGTTTCGTTTTACAATCTAAGGTTATAGATGATATAGATATTTTTTGATAATCTGCTGTTTTGACGAATAAGTTCAAGGTGTTGGAATAAATTCATAAAATATCTGAAGAATGAAACGCAAATAAAGTAATCATTTTCAAGAATATCTATTTGTTTGATAAATTTAATATATTCGTCGAAATGTTAATTCGTCAAAAAATATATCTACTATAATTGAAGTTTAAATATTTAAATCTATAATTTTGCATAAAATACAATATATTATATATTTATAAATAAAATCATAATCTACCTTATACATTTTCGTATAATACATCATAAATATACATATGTATATATTATAATTTTTTAATTGCAACAATTTAAAATAAATTGAAATTATTCAAAAGGAAGATAAAATTATAGAATATATTTAGAATGGTATTAATTAAAAATAAGCTATACTCATGAATTAAATGTTTCTAAATATGTATAAAATTGTAATAGATAGTTAAGTAGTAATACATTATATTTACAATAAATAAAAGATTATTCATTAATTTTTAGTTTAAACTAAGACATATTACATTTTTTTAATATTTTTTTTATACATTTAACAAATTAAGAATATATACTTACAGTTTAGAAAAATGTTCATTAATATTCAATACATAATTTTTCAAATTCTTATATGTTCTTACAATAACCTATTTTTATATACTGAACTATTTCTAATGCATCAATATACACAATTTTTAAACAAATGTTGCAGCTGCTGTACTTATAGTCTGGGATATAAAATAATAATAATATTGTTGAATTTAATTAAAAATATCCAAATGTTTATAATAACTTAAGCATATTTCCTATGATAATCAGGTGGTGAATCTGCATAATCTTGTTGAAGATTAAAAAGTTCAGTATTATTTTTTTGTAAATATAATAAGAAATCGTGAAAATGAGACAATAATAATTGTATGCTTCTTTCATCTAATGTAGTATATGATAACATTCCTCCAAGTCTCACTGTAAAGATTAATTAAATTAATAATAATGTTTCCTATTATATATTTAATATATTATCATAAAATATAATTACAAATAGTACCAAACAGCCTCAATAAATGAAATGCACCATATAGTTGACTTGGCAGTGTTTCAGGATTATCATTCATAATTTGAATAAATTGTGGACGTTCCCATTTATATAATAATTGTAAACCTAATGAAATATTGAAATATTCGCGAATACCTTTAGTTATTTCTAATGTACTTTCCCTAAAAATAGATAAAAATATTAGCTTTATACAGAAAAAACTATAATATATAAAATAATACATTTTTAAAATTATAATACAATTACCTGACAGAATCATTTTTTCCTATTGATTTTGATTCTACATAGTCATCTAAAATTTTATCAACTGTATTTTTCACAGGCAAAGCAGGCAATTTATGATGTTTTAATATTACTTCTGATTCATCTATAAGTACATATTTTAATTCTTCTGGAATCTTAATTTTAACCTCCACTTTAGTGAGATATTCTTCTGTTTCACCAGATGGTTCTAATCGGCTATAATAAATTTTATATTTCATAGTTTATTAAATGAAATTTTTTAATAAATTTTAATAAAAGTGAAATTTCTTTGACATAAACCTGCGTTTTTTACGTGGAGCATCTGAAGTAGAATCATGAGATGATGATGGTGTTACATTGCTACTGGTGCTTTTATTAAAACGACTGACACCTTTATCAACTGTTGCAACAGGAGTACTAGCTCTGCTATCAGTATCCTTTTCACGTCCACCTTCACTTCTACGTCCTTGTGTTTTAGATGAGGTACTGCCCTTTTTATTTTTTTGAGCAGATTGTTGATTTGAATGTGCTCTTTGAACCTCTCTTTGTCTTTGTACATTTGCTTCGTTATATTTAAGTACTCTACTTTCCGGAACCCATTCATCCCAACTATTTATATTAAATTTATATATTTATAATTTCAATTTTATAAACATATAATAAATAAAATATAAATCTTACTTTTTATTCCATCCAGCATAATGAATGAAATATTTTATCTGTTTTTCTTTAGTAATGGAGGACTTTAGACATTTTGCTTCATATATTAATGGCCCATGAAAACATAGAACTTTTTCTCCTATAAATTACCACATATTTATTAAAAATCAAATTAAAAAATAAAAATGAATAAAAAAATATTTATTATTCAGTGATCAAACATCACACAAATATATCTTGGAATTTTTCATAGTTCTATTAAAAATTAAATGTGTACCTTCTTGAAATTTACACTTCGGTGGCATACTTATCTCCTTTGAATTACTTATTTTGACTGTTAGTTTTTAAATCGTCAATTTTAAATATTGCCTAAATTTAGGAAATCGCTCGATAATTCGCGCCAATGAAAAACAATTGATTTCCACTGATCAATTTAAAGCAGAACTTTGAATATAGTGTCTTAGGCTTTATGTTCTTATATGTTCACATCTAAAGGTTAGTTTCCAATATGAACGATTATATTTATAATAAAAAAATTTTAGCATTAGGGATTTTTCATTTGCACAATTTTCAAGCCTGAAACGCATATTTAATTTAAATTTAATTTGAGACTTGATATAAGAATAGATAAAAAAATAAAATTATTAAAACATTAGGTATATTTCTTTATGCTAAAATAAGTATTGCATATTGATTACAAATGATTAACATAACAGTTATATATTTTTTTAAGCCAAATGTACAATTTGTCAAGTGTATACGATAATTATCTATTGCTTATTCTAACCTATAATTTATTGATACAAAGTATGAAAATAACTACTAATATTATGAGCATATATACATTATGTCTTAACTTCATTTCTGTATATAAGATTATTATTATATATAAGTATATATAAAAAAATTCATATATATATATATATATGAAACAAAAAACGATGTTTACTCTATAAGCGCTAACGCGGGAATGCTGAATGATCAATTGTAGCGCGACAATAAGTAGTAGCTCGCAAACATTGCGCATGCGTGCTATATTTGAAATAAGTAAATATGAAGATTTTTTATTGTTAATTTATATTATAATATTTTTGTATGTATTTTTTAACTTTTTTCCCTATAACGAAATCATAATTAAAATAAAATATCAAAATCATAAATTTAAATGTTAAAATTATAAATCACTTTACTTATATAAATTCATAATAATACACGGATGTGTCAAATATAGAGACGTTTATAAAGATCAAGTTTGAACTTGAATGAAGTTTCGACGCTTTATTTTTTTTATACCGTTATACGTATTAAACGTACATAAAAAATATTTTTTCTGCTACATTATTCGTTATTTTTTATATAAACATTTAGAACTTATATGTAAGTTTTACGAACAAATTTTCCGGTGCAAAATTATATATATCAACTTAAATTTAAAATCAAATCTAGTAAAAACGTACAAATGTTTAACGTCGAACAACGAAAATGTCGATTCGAATAGATTCTTATTTTTTGTAACAAGATAAACGAAAATTATATTATACGAAAAATAATTTTTCGTATAATAAAGCATGATAAGTGAAAAAACACGAAGGTTATGGTAAATTAAAAACATCACATCTCCCTATGACGTTACACAAGGTTATATTTTGTAATTTCCTGTTCAATTTTTTTTTCTTTTTTCAAATCTTCTTTTTACTTTATCTTTCGACGGGTTGTGCCCGTAAAATGTGACAAAATTCTCATTCGTCGTATTGGTACATACATTGTTTAATTTCTTTTTATTTTTTCTAAGATCAGAATTAATTTTTTTTTTTTTTTCTTTAATATTATTTCTGAACAGTCTCTCAAATACAATCGTAGAAAAGTATATTTGTTTGCGTACATATACGTACGTGCAAATAGTGATAAAAAAATCATTAATGAATTAGGATCAAGCTAACTTTAAAGAATATCGATATTTCTAAAGCAACGCGTTTCTAATTCTTTCTCTTTTTTTTCTTAGTTTAAATAATCGAATCGTCGTTGTTGCTCGCCGCTAACAACAATAATAATTTATTCTCGATGCTTGGTTTCGCATAGATCGCGTTAAGTAAAGATCATAAAACTCTCGCTAAACGAGAAAAAAAAAGATTAAGGAAAGACTCTGTCGTCCATTATAAAATATAAGAAGCGCCTTATTCGACAGACTGCCAGAAGAGAGCCAGAGATTTTTCACGAATAATCAGGCTTAAAAAATGAAAATTCGATGGACTGCCATCTTCGCGATAAGTTATTATAAAAAGATCCCGGAAAGTCTGAAAACGTCGGAACGACAA